CTGATGCAGGCTCAATGGCCCTGATGAAGGCCACCACAGTGCAAGAGGAGACAAAGGCTGAAGAGGGACTGGAGGTGAGGAGAGCTGGAACATGCCAAGGCAAGAGGTGACAGCCAATGGGGCAAACTCCCAGTGGACAGTAGGCGAGGTGGTAGTGGGAGCACAGGTACAGGCACCAACACACCACATGCGCCTCCGACTGAAGGGAGCGAACAGGGTGAGGGGACAGCTGAGGGAGGCGGAGTCGCTCACACTGGCACCCTCCACTGTGTGGCATTGGACACCACGTGCAGAGGAGGCACAGGGCTCACCCACAGCGTGCTCCCAGTCCACCTCGACACTGTGGAAAGTGTTATACCAAGCTAGGGAGAAAACACCAAGTACGGGACACAGATAAAAACTGAAAGAAGTTTATTACGCATGGGCAGACTCCACTCTCTAAGAGAAGTGAAGCCCCGTTATAGGATTGTGCATAGGTTTTATAGGTTTTACAGCCATGGCCTCATTCAGGTGGTTACATTTCATTTATAGATATGTAAATCATGGTCACAAGACAGTTAACTTTCAACCCAGATGCAACAGTTCTTTGCTGTTGGGGAGTTTGCCTTGAAGATTCACCCAGCTATCCATCTTAGCCCATAGGAAGCGGGTGCACAGGGTCAGAAAAGCAAGTGTTAACAATGGTTCTTTCATTTAGACACTTTTACGATCGGGTGGCTCCAGTCTCATCGGAGCTCAAGACCTTGACGTGCCCTGTTATCTCAGGGTAAGGCCAAATGCCTCATTCAGCAATTAGTGCCTTTGGTGCCTATTAGTTTTAGCTAAACAAAACAAACTGCTGTCGGAGACAGCAGAAGCCATTCTACATTGTAACACTTTCTAGGCTTTTGTTATTTACAAAAGTTCTCCCTATCATTCCTCCCTTTGCTTTGGGGCTAACTCCTTACCCCTTGTTATGTTCAGGCCAATTTTCATTATTCCACATAAATAGCATAATGATAATGTTGGGCAGCAGCTACTCTCTGATGTATGAGTTTTCATCTCCATCTTTCCATGCAGGGACCAAACATGAGGACGAGTGATATAACAATAATTGTTCCTCGACGGTGCTGACCCAAGCTTTCCATCCCGACAAGTCAAGTCCAAAATTGAATGTTGTGTCCCCGGTACCTGTTGTCTGATAAGGGGAGGGGTGCACAGCAATCTCTGGGGTCATTAATCGGCCAGCAAAGAGTCATTTTAGCTCAGTCAGGTCTCACAGAAAGAACAGGAAGAACTGAATCGGGGTGCAGAAGGGGCTCTGAGGGGCGCGGAGGACGAGCAAGAGAGGAAAAACTGACATGAGCATCACAGTAACCTTCTCAAGAATCACGTGGCAGCTAGGCTACAGGCAGGGAAAAGGTGGGCGGCGAGGCTCGTGCTGGGTTAGACACACAGGGACACAGGGTCCAGCTGAGTAAAACACAGAAGCCCAGGGGTGGATCGTGAGACCAGGAGGCAGAGCTGAACAGCAGGAGGACTGGGCAGGTGCCTGGCTGACCACCCCAGGGTGAGAGAGTGCCCTTGTGACAAAAGCAGCACGGGCCACAGAGCAGCCAGCCTTCGGAGTGGAGAGCATAACAAATCCTGGAGCTGAGGAAGACAAGGGACCTTGCGATCAGACTGCTGGAGGAATCTGTCCACAAGATGCTGCAAGCGCTGGAGCTGGAAACAGGAGGGGCCCAAGGCCAGCAATGAGTGAAGGAAGGAAAGTGTCTCAGTGGTCAGAAAAGGTCGAGAAGGACAGGAGTGGTTGCCTCAATTCTGAAGAAGATTCTACATGAGAATAGATGAGAAATGGCAGCCCGGAGAAAGCTGCCCCCACCACTGAGTCCGAGGCCCCAACGGCTAAAAACGTGTAGGCTTGATTGCAGAGCAGTAATGAGAGCAGAAGCCCCAGGAGAGTCAGTCAAGGCCGGAGATGCCAAGAAGAAGAGAGGCTTATTTATAGCACAGAAAAGGTCCTGTTCCCCAGGGCTCCCGGCTGGGAGTTAGCAAGGAAGGCGCCAGCTGGGGGAGAGCAGCCCCCTGCAGAGAAGGAGACAGGCAGCCAGCCAGCCTTATCAGGAGGCAGCCAGCCTCTCCGCAGGAAGATGCCTCAGGCTGACGCAACCTAAGATCCCAAGTGGGGTTGGAGGCCACCAGTCTGTGTGGAAGCAGGAGGGCTGCTGAAAGAGGATGAAATGGCTCTGCAGGCAACTCCCCACCCAGTGCAACTGACAGGAGCTCACTAAGACCAAAAGGCACAGAACTCCACAGATGAACCAGAGAGGCTGTAGGATCCCAGACCTCCCGCAAAGCTTTGCCCTAAAGCTAGGGCGGGGGTTAGCTGGCCTCTAAACACCGTCCTTGTATAGACCACAGAAGCAAAGGTGGCCAACAGATTAACCTCCAAAGGACTCCAGCGCAGCACAACAGGAAATGGACCAAGAATGGGTAACTCACAGGGAAAGCCTCTTGCTACAAATTTGTGGAGTCATCCTCCCTGGTATTCCAAATCCGGAAGGAAGTGGACAGATGGATGACTGACAGACAGATGGACAGACACAGATTGTGTAAGTCTTTCTGGGAATGTGATAATGAAACACTGACAAGGATGCAGGAAATGGTGCATCAGCACAGTGTAGTATCTTATAAACTCCATGTCCTACTTCTCAAACAATCCACTCCTGGAGTATTCACACAGGTTAGCAAGGAAGATTTGCCAAGAATTTACAGCATTATATTTGTAGCATGAAATCTGATAAGAACCTAAATGCCCATCAGTCAAGGAAAGGATGACCTAAATGTTCCATCTACTTTGATGTGAGATACTTAAAATATCTAGATGCACAGACAATCTGTACAACTTTACCCCAATGAAACGACACACACGTGTTACGTGTAGCATGCACATTACTCCGGTACACAGAGGGTTAGCACAAAACACTACGGCAGACCGGAGCCTGGTCCACATGGGATGGCGGAAGCACACCCCACTCATTTCTAGGGATTGTGGCGACAGATTTTGAACAGAATACTGGAAAAAGGTACTCAAGGTCTCTGAAAAGTGAGAAGGAGCCAGCAGACTGGTGAAGGACAGCAGGATTTGAAGGACACTAACCACCAGTTGCCCTTGGCCTGGACGCAGGAGCCCCAACCCAGCAGCTGCACTGCCTATCCTGGAGGGCACCAGAAGGCCCAGGTCCAGGCCTGAAGGCAGGGGAGGGGTCTGCAGGCAGCACTGTGGTGGCAGTGGAGCCACAGGCAACTCAGACTCTGTGGGAGAGAATGCTCCCTGCCCGGAAGGATCTGAGGGCCTCTGCAGTCAGTTGTCTGCTGGATGGCTGTGGGCAGTAATGGCGGTGGCAGCAGCAGGGCACACTAAGCCCTGGCATTCCTGGGAGTTGTTGGAAAGGGGAACCTTGGGGAACTACAGAACCCCACGTACTGTGGAGAGTGAGGGGCCCTGGAAAGGGGCCCCAACAGAGTTATACGCTCCCTGCCTGCCTAAGGTATGCCGCACCTCAAGCACTCAGAGGTAGGGGAGAGGAGCACCCACATCCACACAGGCCCCCGGGGCTTACAAGAGAGACGAGGGCAGATCCAAGGAGGTGGAAATGTGTTTTTAGCTTTGTTTTGGTGCTGCAACTTGGAAAAAGGATGGCATTTACACTGAAAAGGTTTTCACTCAAACTCATGGCCCAAACCCAACAAGGCTACGTTTTCCAACAGATTTGAACAAGACTCTTATAGCATCCCAAATGCCCAGGGTGAAGCCCAAATTACTCAGCATGCAAATAAATATGAAAATTTCAACTCACATGGGGAAAACACAAAAAATACAAAGGTCTGCACAATACAGATGCTGGAAGTATCTGGCACAGATTTTTTAAAAAGCTATTATTGAAAACCAAGCAAAACAACAGTGCTCCAACAAGTAACAGCCCATACTTGGAATGGATGGTATGGCAGGCAAAACCCTAAAACAGCCTCCAAGATTTCCTGTCCTGGAGCTGGGATGGAACTCAGTGCTAGAGCACTTGCCTATCATGCATGAGGCCCTGAGCTCAATGTCCAAAACTGGAAAGCAGTCCTGCCTAATCCCACAACTATGAATACATCACACCCTTATGTTAAACTACTTGTCTGGGGGATTCTGCAGCGGAATTAGTCAATCAGCAGGCTATGTTAATTAGAAGGGTTTATCCAGGTTTGCCTGATTGAAGTACACAGCCCAGGCAAAGCTTCGTCACCTGAAGAGACAGCAGGAGAGGGGCCAGGGAGACAGCACGTGTAAACAGCCTGAGCGAGCTCCCGGGCTGAAGATGCAGCCCCCACGAGAAGGTACAGTTGGCCTGGTGGGGATCAGCCAGGCCGCGAAGGCACCCAGAAGCAAATGCTTCCCAGGAGCCTCCAGGACGAGCCCAGCCGGCACCGCCTTGATTTTGGCCTTGGGAGCCCCCAAGCAGAAAACCAGTCAAGCCCACAAAGATTTATGAACTACACAGCTGTGAGATAATAAATGGGTGTGCTTCTTCACTGGTTTGTCACAATAAATTCAACAAGTCCCTGGCTTGGGAATGAGTCCTGTTCTAGGAGAACTGATCATTCAGAAGCCAACGAAGTCTTGTACAGTACACCTGTGAAAGTTCGCAAATGTTCGTTAAGCAGAGACTTACTGTAGATTTGGGTACCTATAAGTGGGGTGCTGTTGTGACAAATACCTATCAAAGTTCATTCTAACCCTGAAGTGTTACCTGATAATATCTGGGACTCACTGATTGCTCTAGGATGACACCATTCTTTCTTTTTCTAAAATGCTACATAAGAGACAGCATATCCCTTAAATTCTCTAGGCAATTCATTTTTCTATTTTTTAAAACTACTGTCAAAACAACTGTGTTTACTTGAAGAGAGGCCCCCTGAGCTCATTCCGAGTAGCATGCACACTGACGAAGGTTTAGCTAGAATCCACCTACACTTTGAGTTTGGTGCACTGTCCTGGCTTCAAGTCCCCAAGCAGCTGCAGCATGGTGTCCAAGAGCACCCGACTGGAACTGACCAGGAACTCGCGGCCACAGGCTATGGCAGCAACATCTGCAACAGAGATGAAACACAGCGTCAGGATCACAGGCGCTTCGGAATCTGGAAAATTCTGTCCCGGACGGAGCACCTGCACCTGTTCTTCTCCTAAAAGACCTAAGGAAAACAGACGACAAGGCACTGACAGCACTGCTGTCCCTGAGCTGCTAAGCCGGGACAAGGAGTTGACACCCGCAGTTACTAATGGAGGCACAGGGCCTGCTTGGGAGCAAACACCGCTGCCAGGAATGGAGCAAGGCCCTCCCTGCCTGCAGCACCAGGCAGAGCACCAGACCAGAAGCTGGCGGGTCACAGGGAAGGTCAGGTGACGGACGGCCTCACCTGGCATTGAGTATTTGCTGGTGACTTGTAACGACGACATGAAACTGAAATTACAGGTCTTCCAAGAGGAGAGCATGAAAACTGACTCTGAAATGGCCTTTTTTTCTAAATGTTCTGTCCCACTGCAATCAACAAGTACACATCTTCCTATGTGGAAACCACAGCGAGCCACTGTGCTCAGCCTAGCTCAGCTAGGACCTGTCAGCATCCCCTAAAGCCTGTCTGTGTGCCTCAGGGACCCAAGGACACGGATGTGCCTGTTTGTAGGTGTTCTCTTCAGTCAGGTACATCACCAAAGTGACCCTAAATCACTACGACCTCTGTAAATAAGCAAGCCGAGGGGAGTGGGGCAGGCGGCAGCATCCTGGTCTTTTCTCTGACCCTAATGAAAACGCTTCTAGGAATCCACAGTTCAGCGTGATGGCCGGTTCCTTTCTGACAGACATCGTTTACCAGGTTAAGGAAGTTTTCTTCTATTTGTAATCTGCTGAGAACTATCAAAAGTGGAGGGGGAGCCGAGCATAAGGGCACCGGCCTCTAATCCCAGCACTCAGGAGGTGGAGGCAAACGATTCCAAGTTCGAAGCCAGCCTGGACAACATAACTAATTCAAGGTCAGCCTCCACTGTGTAGTGAGACCTTGTCCCAAAAAACAGAAAGCAAAAGCAGAAGGTGAACGTTACAGTTACTTGTTGTGTCTCTGACTAACTGTGATCTAATTGCAGAACACAAAATTGCATTAGTGCTACCAGACTGACTTTATGAAATCAGATTCTTCACATTCCTATTTATTTTGTTTACTTGTGCTGAGAAGGACCAGGTGGAGTACACTGAAGTCCGCTAAACCGATTGAATTTTTCCTTGTATCTACATTTTTCCAGCATTTTGCCTCATAACTGAAGCTGTGTCATTTGATACATAATTTCACGATAACTGCAGCTTTTCTCAGGACAGGACCTTCCTTTTACACAAAATTACTTTTTCTGTTTAGTGAACTTTAAACTGATATCTAAAATTTCCAGCAAATGTCACACTCTAGTTTTCCTAAGGGAAGAGTAAAGAAAATAAACACCCAGTAGGGGAAGACACCATTCAGCTAAGACAGCAGAGCACCTCATGGCCCTGCCTCTGGTCGCCGGCCTCTGAGGACTGTTTCCTACTGAGCCACGCCCACACACAGGCTTGCGGTGTCCACTCTGTGGGGACTCACTGTGACCACTAGGACACAGCAGAACTCACACCGTGTGCCCATTGCAGGGCAGCAAGAAGCCTCACGACCACCACCTTGGTCCTCTGCCACTTGCTCTAGGAGCCCTGGGTCACCTGTGGCTCCCATAATGAAGAAGCCACACGGAGCAGGGACAGAGGCGAAGCCCTGAGACTACATGAGGAGAGAGGGACAAGGACACTTTCCAGGCCCCGGCTGTCCCACCCCTCAGAACCTCAAGTCATCCCAGCTGAAACCCCAGATATTTAAGGGCAGCAGCAAACCGTCCAGCCAACCCCTGAACAAATTGCAGACTTGTGAGCAAAATAAACTCTGTTGTTTATTGTTGTTTGTTACCCAGAAACAGAAATGTGAATAGTACTACTACCTCACGGAAGTAAAATAGCCAAACACACATTCTATCTTACATATTACAGGAGGCAACAACTCCCAACATGACATTTGCTGGCAAATGGAGCTAGAAATTGTTCGTCCCAGTACTGTAACAGCAAACACCAACCCTGCAGTTTACTGCGAGGCAGCAACTAAGCTCAAATACAGCATCTGTGAGAGTCAGCGCCAGCATCTGTTACCCTCCGAACTTATTCACATCTACTTTTCAGCATAGGTAGGATTTGGGTTACTGGTATTTAATCCGTCTGGGGTACTGGCGAGCCATGTAAAGCAGAATAGATTTTGTTGCCATGCACTGCAAGCAGACGAAGGGTTGTCTGAATTTTCTGTTCGAATGGTTTTTTTTCCTAGGTTCATTCTCATTAAAATTGTTTATGGGCAGTTCCGGAGCTTAGCATGGGAATTATATAGTTTAAGAAATGAATCTGGTATCCGTTATACCTGCTGAGAAAGGTATATAAATCCATCTGAGGTGTGTCTGACACTTTTGCTTTAGGTCGTAATTTTTCAGTGTTAAAAATCAAGATAGAGTACTGGCATAACGATACACACATAGACCAACAGCAGGACCGAAGGTAGAGAAATAAACTTACATTTAGGGTCAAATGATTTGCTTGTTGTGTGTGTGTGTGTGTGTGTGAAACCTAAAAACAAATCTATTTATTGTATGATTCTTCTTCTATGAAGTCAAAGTCATAGAGATAGAAAGCAGAGTGTTGTCTATCCAGGACTGAGAGGGTAAGGGAAGCTGTTTTTATTTTTTCTTTAGAAATCATTTATTGGTACATCCATCAGAGGCAACTTGTACCAGTACATGACAGAGCTTGCTTCTTCTTTTCCCATGCACCCCCACATACAAAAGCTTTGTTTCCATTTTTTCTTTTGATTTTTTTTTTCTTATCCCTTCTTTCTGGTCAATTAATTTTCAACAAAGGCGTCAAGACACCTCAATGAAGAAAAGATAAAAAGAATGATCTATGTTTAAAAAGAAAATGACAGTGCCATTAGGGATGTAGAAAACCCAGAGCCCTCGTCTACCACTCATGGGGACGTAAAGGGTGCCACTGCAGAAAACACAGTTCAGATCTTTAACCTGACTCTGTGCTGTTTTCTCAGACATGCCAATGGGCAGTACCAGCTGGCTGCAAAGCTGCCACGTCAAGGCTGCAGAGCATTTTCCTCCCCACAGTGCGTCAGGTGGCACTGCTCACTCTGCTGCCCAGAGTCTAAAGTGCTTCTGTTGGCAGACGGACAGCTCAATGGACGGTTGAGAGATAACACAGGAGGGAGTGGTGCTGACCAGTGCTGGACCTGAAAACCAGCTCTCTACACATCCACCTCACCTTCAGGAGGGCCAAAGACAGTGCTGTGAACCCTGACAATTCCTGATGATCTCTCTGGAGTCAGAGTGGCTTGAGAACCAAATGGATGCTCCAAGAACCAACCAACAGCAACAAATATGCCCGTGCCTAGAAAAAGACTCCCTTTCCAAAGACACAGAGAAAAGGAGCCAGCAAGATGCAAGATGGTGCAGCTATCAGGGAGCACAGCCTGGCAGTTCCTCAAAACGTTACATGCAGTTACCATAGGACTCTGCTACTCCATTCCCCGGTGTACACCCAAGAGAGCTGACAACACAGATGCCCACAGAAACATGTACACAGGTATCCATAGCAGCATGATCTGCAACAGCCAAAGGCAGGAAGAGTCTCAGTGCCTACCCACGGACTCCTCACTGCAGACTCAGACCATCTGACAGGAGAGGACCTACAGGTCCAAGTTCAAAACCTACAGGCCGGGGATTTAGCTCAGTGGTTCCTCTGCCTGCCTCGCAAGCTCAAGGTCCACATTCAAGCCCCAATACCAAACAAACAAACAAACAAACAAACCAAGATCAAAACCTGGCCCTTCTTCCTGCACATGCAGACAGAATCATACAATTCTGTAGCCGGCACAGACCAGAGCCATCTGGTACCTGAGACTCCTCAGAAGATGAAACCAAATGTCACATACTCGAGAAGACAGGGCTGGTCAGTGGCAGAAGCAGTGCTGGACACAGGGCCTCAAGTTCTGCTCTGCACCCCACCCCACGCTGCTTCCCTGTGCTGGCCTGAGTGTCTGGGGCGTGGTGGCCAGAGGGACAGAAACTGACACAAAGGAGCTCCACTGGCAACTAGCAAGGTTCACGGAAGACAAAATCTGATCCAGTACTGCCTCTAAATTATCAAGCACAAAGTAATACTGATGCTGCGATATTTACTGAATATTATTCAAATGTGAAAAACAGAAATAACAGGTAAAAAGTACAAGGGCTGGGGATCTAGCTCAGTGGTGCTGCCGTCTGCTTTGGAAGTGCAAGGCTCAGAGTTCGATCCCCAGTACCAAAAAAAAAAAAAACCAAAGTGGTAAAAAGTACAATTAAGATTTTCAAATCATCCAGGAGCAGAAAAACTGTTTCAAAATCAGCTTTCCACTTGCAAGCTAAGCAAATTACTCGCTACAGGACTGAAATAAAAATTTATTGTCTTCTTTTCCATTTGCCACCATTATGGTGACTGTCAAGTTGACTAGATTAAGAAACACCTAGCAGCCTAGTAAAGCAAGCTTCTAGGTGTGTCTTGGGGGGTGTTTCCAGACATGACTGGCATACAGCCCAGCAAATGAGGGAGAGGCCACACCCCATTGTGAGTGGTGCCGTCCAATAAGCTTGCAGCCAGATGGAACACTAGGTAAGAAAGAGGAGGTGGGCCTGCTTTGAGAAGCTCCATTCTGCGTGGGCAGGTGTGTCTTTTGCTACTGCCATCACCCATGGACATCAGACTCCAATCCGACTTCTTCACCCTTCAACACAGACTCACACCTGCAATTCTCCAGGGCACACCGGGCCATCAGTCTTGGATATGCACAGCACCCTTTACCCACTTTGTTCTGTGGCTTCCAGGCTCTTGGACTGAGCAGCTACAGGATCCACCGCTCTCAGCACGCAGCCACAGCAGATTCGCCTGCCTCTGACCTCATAAACTTCTCTAATAAATCCTTCTGTCTCGTTACATATACTTTTTCTATTGATTCTGTTCCTCCAGCAAACCTAAACCAGCATGACATCTTCATTTGCCCCTCATTCATCCCCCAACCCTATGTGACAACACCTCCCTTTGCCACATGGTCTCACCCACCACAGGGCAGTGGCAGATTTACAATGTGTAAAGTGTCATGGTTTGGATCAAAAGTGTCCCCCAAAGGCTCACATGCTTAGACGTGGGGCTCTGGAAGGTGATTAGAGCCACAGAGGGTTTTCTGGTTGAGTGTGATGAGCAGGCAGGGCCCTGCTGGGGGAGGGAGGTCACTCAGATGCAACCCAGAAGGTACGTTCTCGTCCTGCACTGCTCCCTCCTCCAGAGTCTCTCCAGCCCTCTGTGCTCCTGCCTGTGCTGAGGTGACCAGCTCTCTGCCGTGGCCCTCTACCGAGATGCTTGTTTGAAACTCACCAACCACACACTGAATCCTTTCCTTGTTCCAGTTGTGCACGTCAGGTCTTTTGCCACAAGGACAAAGCCTAATACAGAGGGTCATTAGAGCAGGTGTTTCCATTCCACCATGCAGATAAGAACAAGTGGACCTGAAATCCAGACCCTCTGTGCTACACTAACCTACAAGAACAGTGACTCTGTCCAGCACTTGGGAGGCTGAGGCAGGAGGATTGTGAGTTCAAAGCCTGGACTACATAGCAAGACTCTGTCTTTTAAAAAGGGGACTAAGGATGAGTAAGAATTTTGACTTCAGTCTTTGCTTAGGATACAATAAACTGGAGAAAGCTCCTCCTTCTCCCCTTGAGCAAGGGGCGGATAATTTACAAAACGACAGCTTTTCTTGGACACGGAGGGCTGAGGCTGGCTATGGAGCAACTAAGATAAGGGACAGGTACACGTGCTCCCGAGGCAGACCTGCGATGCCACACAAGGCAGCAAGAAAACGTAGCCGAACACCCCACAAATCAGCAGGGTAGGTCCCACGGGGCTGACAGGAGGAGGGACTGACGACAGGAAGGGGGAGGCAGCAGGAGGAAAGGGGGAGTCCCACACCCTCGTGGTGCTGTCACTGGCAAGTGCTCTGTCAAAACAGCCGCAAAGGGTGTGAAACTCACTGTATGAGTGCACATACTGTACGTAAGTAGAAAGGGCTTCTGTTTCAGGGAAAGGAGAGCGGGGTGACTTCTGTGCCATGGTCTCCACCAAGCCCGCCTCCCCCAGGACAGACATGGTATTGGCAAGTCTCTGAGTCGGCACTGTGGAAATGCACTGTGCGTGTGAAACCTCCTCGGGCAGACTCACTAACCCAGGCGTAACAGCCCTCGCTCCAGCTCCTCAGGAGTCCATGTCTCATGTGGGCCACCACAGGCAGTGGAAAACAAGGCCACACAGGGTTGAGGTGCTATGCACAGGCCAGCTCCACCCCCAACTGCAGCCTCCGCACAATTCAAGCGGTTCAAATTCACACCTCAAACCGAATGCAGTGGTGCACACCTGTAACTCCTGCTACTCAGGAGGCTGAGGCAGGAGGATCACAAGTTTGATACCAGCCTGGGCAACACAGAAAGATTTTTATCTCAAAATAAAAAACATATAAAAAAGGATATTCCTCAATGACAGAGTGCCTGCTTGCCTAGTATGTTTGTTCCTGGGTTTAATCTCCAGTACTGAAAAAAAAAAATCTCCACTCAGCAAAATGACATAGAATATAAAAGTTCTGGGTCACGTGCACAGAAAACCCAATCATCAAATCTGCAAATACCATCCGGCATGGTGGTGCACACCTGTAACCCTAGCACTCAGAGAGGCTGAGACAGAGGGATCGCAAGTTTGAGCTCAGCTTGGGCAATTTAGTAGTTTAGTGAGACTCTCTCAAAATAAGAAATTAACAAAATGGGCTGGGGATATAGCTGAGTGCAAGCTGGGTTTAATCCCTAGTACTGTAAGAAAAACAATGCAAATGTCTTCAATTAAAAAACAGCCCTCAGCCAGGTATAGCTGCACATGCCTGGAATCCCAGCTATTCATGAGGCTGAGGCAGGAGGATCACAAGTTCTAGCCATTTAGCGGGACCCTTCTGGAAAAAGTAAAATTAAAAGGGCTGGGGATGAAGCCTAGTGGTAGAACATTTGCTTAATAGGCACAAGAGAGGCCCTGGGGTTAAATACCACAGCAGGGGTGGGGCATGCAAAAACTAAAGGGGAGCCTTTCTGCCCACTCAGCCACAGGAACCATGGTGAAAAGAGGAGAGAAGAGCTGTCCTGACTGACAAGTGACTGCCAGGCCACACCAGGCCTGCCAGAGGTCACTGCGACCTCAGCACCCACCCGGCACAATGTACCACCAATTTTTAAAGGATCATTTCTTAAATGGCTACGCAGGAACTGCCCCATTAGGGTTTCAGTAAAAGAAGAATGCTGTGAGGAAAGCAGAATTTTCCGTCTTTAACAGCAGAAAATTACCCTAGGAGTAGCATGGGCTATGGCAGAGATGAAGTTCAATGTGAGGGGAACAGTTGCAGAAATATACTTAACCACTTCATGGACGCAGAACAAAGAGCATCCGTGGTCACCAGTGACACAGATCATGGGGACAGAGGACAAACCAATGCAGGCCCAAACCTGTTCCCCATTAAAAGCGCCATCTGTTTCTTTAGGAGGCAATCCAGGACTTAAAGGAGGGTTTTGTTGCTGTTTTTGTTTTACTAAAGCCCACAACTCTTCACTTGGGCCTGCGGATATCCACTATGTTACTACAAACAGAACCAAGTCTGACGTTCGTTCTGTACCCTCTATCACCTTAACACTTCGGACACAGGTGTGTTAATCATTTAGGGAAATTTGGCAGGGCAAGGTTTATTACCCTTCACTTTCCCTAGCCTATCTCATGCCCCTCGAGACCAGGGACCAAGGTAAGAGATCATTTGCAGGAGCAGGAGTGGTCAGCTACACCCCGCCGTCCCAGTGCCCTAACCCTCATGTCACCTTGGACCCCAGCACTCTCAACCGCTCCAAGCAGGAGCCATTACCACGCTGTAAGGAAAGCCAGCCTGAGACAACTCCAGGTGCCCCCGGCCCACCGCAGCCCCCGCACACGGCTGCCCACTCCCGGTCGCAGGGCCGGTCTGACCCCGCTCTTCAGACCAGCGCCTGCTTCAGTTCTCAAACGGAAGCCATTTTTTACCTTCTTTTTCTTTTGTTAGGGGACCGGCTTGCCCTTCGTCAGAGCTACACTCCCTTTCATTTGCTCTTGCTTTCCGGTTACAGCTCTTGCCCATAACCTCATGCTGAAAGCCTCCCTTTTAATTTCCATTTTCCGTGATGCGAGGGCCGGCACTAGCTGGTGGCAGCTGTATAGGCCACCCCTCAGCACACGAGGAGACCATTAAGTCCCTGGGATTTCCCAATGGTTTCGCTGTGGAATCCTATCCTAACTCTCAGAGAAAAGCCTAGCTTTCAAACTTTCAGAAGAAAATTACTAAAAAGACAATTTAAATGTTTGTAATTCTTTAAAACAAGAGCTCAGTTTAAGCCCAGCTTCAGGCTTTTCTAATCGCTTCTCGGCCTTTTGGCTAAGATCAAGTGTAGCTTAAGGCTCTTCTTTATCTAGACGTCAGTAAAATGACAATGATTCCAAGTAAAAAGCAGCAGAATTTACAGTTTGCTTTGTTTTTGGACTCCCATTGATGTTCATAACCAAACAGAACATGCAAACGAACTTGTACTCCCTTTAGATCAGTCATTCTTAATAACTGATATTTATCAGAGTCCCTTGGGGGTTATGTTCTAAAATACACACACCTGCTCCCCATCCTGGCTCTCTGGAGTCAGATTCCCCAGGGTGAGGCTAGTATCTGAAAACATTCCTGAGAGCTGCTTACACACACACACACACCACACACACACACACACACACACACACACACACACATCACACGGGGTAATCACTGCTCCATCCCACAGCCACCACATTTGAGAATTACTTACTTGTTACAATTCCAGCCAAAGCAAAAACAAACTGATTCTCATCAGAATCAAGTTCCTTGTCATCCCCATCCAGCGACTTCACAAAACTCTCCATTGTCTGGCCAGTGATGTTGAAAAACTTCAAAGCTTTATCCTGAAAGTTTGGACATGGAAGTGTCACAACTTTTCAGATACAGTGTAAAAGTATTTTAAAAGTATAGGACCCAGAAGAAAGACTGGTTTTTATTATAGAAGGAATATTTAAAAATCTATTTCTCCACAAAAGTTCCCATTGAGGGATCAGAGAAAACAGCTTGGGGCACATAGGGACAAGGGAAGCTATCCTAGGGGTTGATAAGCTTATTTCTATCTGTCTGTCTACATGTATAATGATGGAGGTACTGGGATACACTAACACGAAAATATAGTAGAAATTACCAGAAAAAATAGGTTATATGTTTTGGAGACTTTCAAATCTTTAGCACATCTTGTGTTGCAAGAAAATCTTAATTGAAACCACAACATGTAAAAAAGGCTCCTCTAGCAGTTTAAACCCTCATTATCTGGCAAAAACTTTCCATGTTTGCAGAACCTCTAGGTTACTTACTTGGGGGTACTAGGATTCTGAAGAGAACTTTAAAACCAAGGCACAGTTTAGTTAAGTAAAAAGACAGCAAGCAAGCAAGCATACACTTGCAAAAAGTAGAAGGGCACTTCCTGGTAACACAAAAATTCTAAAACTGGATTGTAGTGATGGTTTCACCCTAGAAATTTGCTAAAAACCACTGAACGGTACTTGCAGTGAGTGAGTTCTACAGCATGGAAGTTACACCTCAGTAAAGCTCAGTCTTTAAAAATACACGTAGGCCTCTCACCTAAAGTCGGACACAGTGATTTCTTTAAGTGGTAAGAAACCCACCACTTGTTTCCTGCCAGCACCTGCCTCCTCACCACCATTCCCTCCACGTCCACCATCCTCCCGAGGTCACCTGTCGCGGGGCTCCTCTCTCACCTCAGCCGTCAGCCCCACCCGTCACCACCTCTGCCTCAACAGCCACAGCTGTCCCCTGTGCTCTTCCTTCCCCTCTCCCCTCCAGAGCGCTGGGCCAGTCTTCCGGTCCGGGCCCAGGGCCCACACCCCACATTCTGATCTTGCCTCACTCACTGTCAGGTCAATCTTCCAAAATTCTGCTCTTTTCCTGTTCATCAAGGCCCATTTCAAATCCCTTCCCTTCTGGGATGCTCCCCAATATATAAATACATGTATTCCTATACACAAATGTCAGAGAACATACGGCATCCACAAAATTAAGTGCTGCACTACGTTAGCCATGAGATGCAATATAGAAAAGCACCTTGAGCCATGGTACACCCTTTGCACACACGAGTTCAGCAACACCAAGGCGGTGACAGATCTGCCAATACCCGTGGGTGCTGGAAGGCAGAGGACCCACTGCATTCGCTCTACACATCCCTAAGCACCAGGCTACAGAGGGCTGAGCACAGCCGGTGTCCGCTGAGTCTGAGGAATGAACTAAGGCCAACGGACAGCGAGACGCGGACTCAGTCTGAATCCTTAGCAGACGTGCGGCCGCTCTGAGCTACAACAGCAGCATCCAGAGGCCGCTGGACATGCTTACTCCTCCCAGGATGGCTCTGACCACCTCCTCGCTGCTGGTGACGCCCCACAGCAGGGTGCAGGCGGCTGCTCCCATTTCTGTACAGTATTCTGCCTGCTGCAAGAGCTGCTGCTTTGCTTCATTAAGCTGCTGTCGAAGAGCCAGTTTCTCCTAAATTCACAACAAAATAAAATCAGAAAAACAGATACTATTGGACCTTTAGACATCTCTGTTATATCTCCCCTTTCACCGAGATATTAAAAAAAAGATTCATGCAGGATTGTAGAAAACTGCCCCATGGAGCATCATAATCCCTATCTAAGAAGTGGACTCCAGAGTCCTGGAGAAGATACGGCTCCTACGGCTTACGGATAATTCCAAAGATCTGATCATCCGCTTTACAGTCAAAACGGGAGCATCTCAAGTGCCACCTGGCTGCCCCCAGGGAAGCACCAACGGGGACTGCTGAGCAACGCAGCAATTAAAAGTGCAGTCCACACACAGGGCAGCATTTCTGCTTCTGCCGGGCACCCCGCTGTCCGAGCACCATGAATTGGAGGCAGACAGAATAAAGGCGCTCAGACACCCCACAGGATTTGAGAGCAAGAAGTGCTGCTGTACAAAGCCTCCCTTCAGATAACATGCCCCCAAGCCCTCAGGAGAACATGGCCCAAAGGGTTGGTAAGTATTAAATATGCATTTGCTAAGCTAAACAAGGTGTGAACCCCAGGACTGAGATGAGGGAGGAAGGCTAAGCGCAGGGCAGAGGGGTGTGGAGGCCGGGCGCCGGAGAATCCCGGCCCAGCCTGAGGGTTCTCACCCCTCCTGCAGCCAGAGGCTGGGCAAGGCTCTGCCAGGCCTCTCTGTGCAGACAGGCAAGGAGCTGCCCTCACACCTCTAGACTTACCTTCAGGGGTCCAGGGTGAGGGGCCTCCTGGCCTCCCAGCTGGTACCGAAGTACCTGAAACACTCTTGGAAGGAGACAGCACTTCTTGAAACCCTCAACAGGTTTTTTTGTACAGAGTGATAATGTGACTATAAAATTCATAGGAAAATGCAAAATATTCAAAACATCCGAAAAATGTCTGAAAAGAAGTAACAATGCTTGAGGGCCAGCATGGCCTTATTAACACAAAATGACACATTATAAAGCTATAATACAAGCCAGTGTGGTACTGGCATTAGGACAGACATGCAGATCAGTGAAAACACTTGGCTTTTTTCCTTTTTTTTTTTTTTTTTTTTTTTTT